CAGGAATTGATCTGCATTTTCGAAAAAAAAATTTTGAATAGAAAAGCGAAAGAAGAAATGGTGGTTAGTCAATATAAAAAATCCTTTTTAAAAAAAACTTCCTGCATTTTTTCCTTATGTGGAACTAGGGGAAAGTAAGGAGGAAAGCGGAAAAAGGTAAACAAAATTCAAAAACAAAAAGTATTAAGGGTTAGCTAGCATACACCGATTTTTTTTTCACACGGTATTTTCCATAAAATTATAGAGAGAAAAGTGGTGAATATTTTTTAATGAAAACCTAGTATTGTATTATTATTATTATTATTAGTATTATTATTAAATTACAAAAATTATGATGTTATATATGTATGTTGTATGTTATGTATGTATATATTTTACAAAATTACAAAATTATTAAAAATAAAAAAAAAAAGTAAAATTATGATGAATGTGAATGAATATGAATATGAATTGTAATAAATAAATTATAATTAATTTACAAAATAATTTAATAATATATAATAATAATAATTACACCAAGTCACTTCTTCAAATTCATTTACTATATAAATCCTCATGACAAGGTTGTCATTCTTCACAACCTTCAATCCTCTTGCCTTTTCTTCCTTTGCATTGCTTTCTCTTTATACAACTCCTCTTGGATCATTTTTTTACTCAGGACATCTCCAAAGCCAAACTTCATTATTTTTTCACTTGATAATTCTTCCACACACAAAATTTTTCAAATGTATCTCATCATGTCACATCACTCATAATTTTCCTTCTTTTTTTCAACAACATAAAAAATATTTTGTGGAATTGGTCAATTTTGTCTTGTCTGTCTGTCTTTTCTAAGTTGTTTGTTTGTTTGTTTTTTCTTATTAATAATGATAATGATATAAATATATCAAAAATCAAAATCAAAAAATTGAAAGTTTCATAGATATAAAAAAAATTCGAAATTATAAAATGTTGATTTGAAAAATAAAAAATAATGGATTGAAAAAATGATATTATCCAAATATATTTTTTCCATTATTATTATTATTATTATTTCAAACAACAATAACAACAAAAAAGTTTTTAAATCATTT